TGTGTACATATCAGGCCCCCAAAAGTCAATTTCCCAGGTATCTTTATCCTGATCTCAAAATTCTATCAATAAAGTAAGCAATGTAGTATACTTTTCATTGAAATGAATAAATGTGAAATGAAAAATATATATATCTTGAAAAAAGTGACAGTGACATTTCCTATGTGCCCAGCACCGTGCCAAGCACATTCCATTATTTTGTTTAATCCTCCCAACAACCCCATGAGGCAGGTCCTTTCCACAGACAGGGAAACAGGCCTAGAGAGGTTTAGTAATGGAGGACAGGCCACACGGCCAGGAAGCGGCACAGCAAGGATCTGACCCCTGGAAGTGTTTCCTGAACCTCTGGTCCTGACCACCGTTCACTGCCTCCCACACTCCATCCACGCGTGGAGCACACGGCCGGCCCCCACCCCTCCTCCTCTCTGAACGCTCTCAGGGTTGCTGCACCCTCTGGTCTGCAGCTGACTCTGGCCAGGGATTAACAGCTGATCTTGATAAATTTCTTGTAGCCTTTCTGCATTGTGTCTTCATAGAATCCTGCTACTGTCCTTTGCTGTACAGCAAGTATTTGAAGAGTCAGATTTCACCCATTGTTCCTCCATCATCAACCTCACCCCCAGCCTGAGTTCAGCGTTTGCTGGTTGATTGATTGCTAACTGACCCCGCCCTACTGGAGGGCAAAGCAAGAATCTGGCACAGGCATGGGTAGGGCCAAGGGAGACCCTGACAAAGTGGAGCCTGACACGGAACGTGGGAACAGTATGGAAGAGTTTGCTGTAATATTAGGCACCTTGAGAAGCCCATGTACCCATTTATAATACCTTTTACTCTTACTGTTAGATAATGGTTTTTTCTGCATCAAGCATGGTGTCCATTACAGTAGATGCTCAATTAGCATTTGGTGAATGCATGAACAAATGAGGGATGGACAGAACGTGTGAGTTATTGTTTGGTTTCTTATCTGCTACAATTTGGGATTTATTTCCTCCACCCGGCTCTTGCCTCCTGCATGCTTGGATTCTCCTTCTCACCACCTTCTCTCTCTCCCTCTCCCCCTGTCAGTCCAGGTAGTGGCTGGACAGGTGGTGGCAAGAAATGTTCTTTTAGGGCTTCCCTGGTGGCGCAGTGGTTGAGAGTCCGCCTGCCGATGCAGGGGACATGGGTTCGTGCCCCGGTCCGGGAAGATCACACATGCTGCGGAGCGGCTGGGCCCGTGAGCCATAGCCACTGGGCCTGCGCATCCGGAGCCTGTGCTCCGCAATGGGAGAGGCCACAGCAGTGAGAGGCCCGCGTACCGCAAAAAAAAAAAAAAAAAAAAAAAAGAAATGTTCTTTTAGGTGGTGTTCCAGATGGTGTTAGGTTCTATAATTTTGGAGTAGAACCATTCTTTAGGGAAATTAGGACTTAAGCCAGCCTTCAAGGGACTCGAATCACCACGTATGATGTTACTGTAGGAGTGTGCATTCTGAGTTCTAAGCAGAACTTGGGGCAACCCACTGGGAGCTGCATATGTTTGAGAAGCTCATACCATCCAGGCATCTGCAGTGGCATCCCCTCCACATCTGTTCTCACAGACTAAGAATGGCTTCTTGACTTTCATGCCTTGCATTTGGTCCATAAGACATTTGGTCCACACCAAGGTCCTTGATATTTGGTCATATTTGGTCCTGTCCAGAATGTCCATGGAGACATTTGGTCCATGCCAAAAGGCCCTTGATATTTGGTCTTATCCAAAATGATTTGGCATGCACAGCAATCAGAGAAGAAAAAGAAATAAAAGGGATCCAAATTGGAAAAAAAGAAGTAAAACTGTCACTGTTTGCAGATGACATGATACTATACATAGAAAATCCTAAGGATGTCACCAGAAAACTACTAGAGCTCATCAATGAATTCGGTAAAGTTGCAGGATCCAAAATTAATATACAGAGGGACTTCCCTGGTGGCGCAGTGCTTAAGAATCCGCCTGCCAATGCAGGGGACTCAGGTTCGATCCCTGATCCGGGAAGATCCCACATGCCATGGAGCAACTAAGCCCATGTGCCACAACTACTGAGCCTGCGCTCTAGAGCCCACAAGCCACAACTATTGAGCCTGCGTGCTGCAACTACTGAAGCCTGCACACCTAGAGCCCGTGCTCCACAGCAAGGGAAGCCACTGCAATGAGAAGGCCATGCACCACAATGAAGAGTAGCCCCTCCTCGCCGCAACTAAAGAAAGCCCACACACAGCAATGAAGACCCAACGCAGCCAAAAAAATAAAATAAAATATTTTTAAAATGTTTTAAAAACAACAAAATTAATACACAGAAATCTGTTGCATGTCTATACACTAACAAAGAAAGATCAGAAAGAGAAATTAAGAAAACTCCCATGGGGCTTCCCTGGTGGCACAGTGGTTAAGAATCCGCCTGCCAATGCAGGGGACACGGGTTTGAGCCCTGGTCTGGGAAGATCCCACATGCCGCGGAGCAACTAAGCCCGTGTGCCACAACTACTGAGCCTGTGCTCTATAGCCCGTGAGTCACAACTACTGGAGCCCACGAGCCACATCTGCTGAAGTCCACGCTCCTAGAGCCCATGCTCCACAACAAGAGAAGCCACTGCAATGAGAAGCCCACACACTACAACGAAGAGTAGCCCCCCCACTCACCGCAACTACAGAAATCCCGCGTGCAGCAACGAAGACCCAACACAGCCAAAAATAATAAATAAAATAAATAAGTTTATTTTTTTAAAAAAAGAAAGAAAACTCCCATATACCATTGCATCAAAAAGAATGAAATACCTAGGAATAAACTTACCTAAGGAGGCAAAAGACCTGTACTTTGAAAACTATAAGACACTGATGAAAGAAATCAAAGATGACACAAACAGATGGAAAGATACACTGTGTTCTTGGAATGGAAGAATCAATATGGTTAAATGACTATTCTCCCCAAGGCAATCTACAGATTCAATGCAATCTCTATCAAAGTACCAATGGCATTTTTCACAGAACTAGAACAAAATATTTTAAAATTTGTATGGAAACACAAAAGACCTCAAATAGCCAAAGTAATCTTGAGAAAGAAAAACGGAGCTGGAGGAATCAGGCTCCCTGACTTCAGACTATACTATTACAAAGCTATGGTAATCAGAACAGTATGGTAGTGGCACAAAAACAGAAATATAGATCAATGGAACAGGATAGAAATTCCAGCAATAAACCATGCACCTATGGTCAATTAATTTATGACAAAGGAGGTAAGACTATACAATGGAGAAAAGACAGTCTCTTCAATAACTGGTGCTGGGAAAACTGGACAGCTACATGTAAAAGAATGGAATTCAAACCTTCTCTAACACCATGCACAAAAATAAACTCAAAATGGATTAAAGACCTAAATGTAAGACCAGATACTATAAAACTCCTAGAGGAGAACATAGGTAGGACACACTTTGACATAAATCACAGCAATATATTTTTGGATCAGTCACCTAGAGTAATAGAAATAATAACAAAAATAAACAAATGGGACCTAATTAAATTTAAAAGCTTTTGCACAGCAAAGGAAACCATAAAAAAACCCAAAAGACAACCTACAGAATGGGAGAAAATATTTGCAAATGGCGCAACCAACAAGGGATTAATCTCCAAAATATACAAACAGCTCATGCAGCTCAATAAAAAAAAAAAAAATCCAATCAAAAAATGGGCAGGGCTTCCCTGGTGGCACAGTGGTTGAGAGTCCACCTGGCAATGCAGGGTACGCGGGTTCGTGCCCTGGTCCGGGAAGATCCCACATGCCGCGGAGCGGCTGGGCCCGTGAGCCATGGCCGCTGAGCCTGCGCGTCCAGAGCCTGTGCTCTGCAACGGGAGAGGCCACAACAGTGACAGGCCCGCGTACCGCAAAAAAAAAAAAAAAAAAAAGTGGGCAGAATATTTACATAGACACTTCTCCAAAGAAGATATACAGATGGCCAAAAGCCATATGACAAGATGCTCAATGTTGCTAATTATTACGGAAATGCAAATCAAAACTAGGAGGTATCATCTCACACCAGTCAGAACAGCCATCATCAAAAAGTCTACAAATAATAAATACTGGAGAGGGTGTGGAGAAAAGGGAAGCCTCCTACATTGTTGGTGGGAACGTAAATTGTTGCAGCCAGCATGGAAAACAGTATGGAGGTTCCTTAAACTAAAAATAGAGCTACCGTATGATTCTGCAATCCCACTCCTGGGCATATATCCAGAGAAAACCATAGTTCAAAAAGGTATATGCACCCCAATGTTCACTGCAGCACTATTTACAATAGCCAAGACATGGAAGCCACCTAAATGTCCATCAACAGAGGAATGAATAAAGAAGATGTGATACATATATACATGGAATATTAGCCACAAAAATGAAATAACGCCACTTGCAGGAACATGGAGGGACCTAGAGATTATCATACTAAGTGAAGTAAGCCAGAGAAGCACAAATATCATGTGATATCACATATGTGGAATCTAAAAAACTAATACAAATGAACTTATTTACAAAACAGAAACAGACTCACAGACTTTGAAAACAAACTTATGGTTACCAGAGGGGAAAGGTGTGGGGGGGGGGAGGGATAAATTAGGAGTTTGGGATTAACATACACACTGCTATATATAAAACGGATAATCAACAAGGTCCTCCTGTAGAGCACAGGGAACGCTACTCAATATTCTGTAATAAGCTCTCTGGGAAAAGAATCTGAAAAAGAGTGGATATACATATATGTATAACTGAGTCACTTTGCTGTACACCTGAAACTAACACAACATTGTAAATCAACTATATTCCAATATAAAATAAAAATTAAGTTTAAAAAAATACAGTATTTACGGAAACTGCATTCCTGGTGCCACAGCTATAGATGCCCAGAGAATTTTATCTTATTTGGAGTTTGCCATTGATCTATCAGGCCACCATCAGGGCAGGCTGTCTGTTAAGTGGTTCTTCTTTCTGTGTCTCTGACAGATGTGTCACCCCTACACCAGCGAGCCTCTGCGAAGATGATCCCAATAGAGGAAGGGGCGGAAAACGATGATGAGGTCTTTGAACCCGTGTCCTCCAATACGCTTCAAGTTCGTCGCTGGCCTTGATCCCAAGAGAGGATTCACGTTACCAAGAGGGAAACTGTCTGGAAGAGATCCTGAAAAATACCAGCACTTTTTCACAGCTTTTCAATTGTTCTGCTTTAATATTGATACTTCCAGCCTGGGAGAGTCTGAGGGCAGGAAAGGGAGGGAGATTCAAAACATGGGAAGGTTATCTTCTCTTTTTACTGGTCAGCTTTCTGTTCCACTGAGCCTTCTGACTAAACCGAGTGCTATTTTTGAGAGATATATTTTCACAGTGTTTTCTAGATATGTTATCATTTAACTTAAAAAAATCTTAGCGCTTTTTCATTGCAAATGCCTTCACTTATGTTTCCGAGCTCTTCCTTTTCGTCAGAGACAGTTTTTTCTCTGCCGTGGCAATGGGGCTGTCCGTTTGATAGTTTTAACAAACAATGTAAGTTCGAAATTGAGGCTGAGGTAACATTAAAAAGCAAGGAATCTCAGGCTTCACTCAGTTGATTTTTTGGCTGGAAAATTTTAAAGAAAGGTGTGATGCGATTCATGCATATTTTTCTCTCAGGCCAGACACGTCATTCTACTAGACTGCCTTCCTTTTGTGGGCATTGTGTGGATAGCTTGATAATGAACAAAGCTCGTCAGACTTTGCTCACATTACCCTTATATTATGCTGTTTGGAAGTTGGGCTGAACCCTAAAGCTGGAAACGTTAACAGTGGAAGAGGTTCTGAGCCTGGGGTCGGCCTTTGGCTAAACCAGCCCAGGTTGCCCCACACTCTGCTGTGGGAAGCACGTTCCTTGGGGCGGGAGGACTGGAGAGTCAAGTGGCCAAAAAAGTGTCGCAGAATGCGAGGCTGACGGAGCCGCTGCACACTTCAGCTGCTATTCTGACATGCAGATGGTTCCTCCAGGTCCATAGATGTCTCCTTACTGTGTGTGCCAGGGACCAGGTGCCAGAGATGCAAACAAGGACACAGCTGTGTGCGGGCAGACGGTCCACCACAAGCTCTGCCATGATCGCCCAGCCTAGATAGTGATGTGAGGGCCTGCATTCCAGACATGGTGGTATTTGGGAAATTCGAAGTTTGCTTAAATCATCCAGCGGGTCAGTGTGACTGTGGCCCTCCACCAGGCCACCTAGTTGGGGGAAGCCCCCTGATGGGCTGTGCTCCATCATGCCCCACTACCTTTATTTTGTGTCATCCACTGGAACCAACTTTGAGTCAGTCCCATTATGTTAAACAGCTAAGAAAAGTTCCAAGTGAAATTATTTTCAGGTGAGCTAAGCCAAAAGCATCTTTTGCCAAGAGGTAATTTCTGTGAGAGGAGATATAAAAATAAGCTACTCCAGGGTCACCTCATTTTCCTAAACTCATTTTTTAAAGCCAGTTATTTTAGTAATTTCACTTGAGTCAAATTTACATGCTTGGTCACTCACTGAGAAAACTTCCACAGACTGGGTATCCAGCTCCTAACATATTCATCAAATGCTGGCTTATTAGCCTCACAGTAGAAAGGCTGATTTCACTTTCCCACTATAGTGGTCTCTTCTGTTTGCTAAATTAGAAATTTATTTGGGGAAATGAAACAAAGGTGAATGACTTTGCCTTGGCTTTAAGACTATAAAGATATAATAGGTTGAACTCTTTCTTTCAATGCCCAAATCAAGTATATAAGGTAATGGTGTTAATACTGCTTTCCTTTAACTATTGGAGTGAAGCTATGTAGGCCATTGAGTTTACACATGCATAAGACCTAATTTACAAAATCACTCTATAATTAGATATTACATCCTTCTCTGAGTAGAAAGTAATTTTAGATGCTGCTAAAGCCATGTTTTTAATGTTCTGTGAATCCACAGAACCTTGAGGTTTTCTAACCCTGACCCACATTCAGGTTTGTCTCACTTTGTCAACCACAGACAACAGAGGGTGTCATCTCTAATGATCAGCCTGGATGTGTTTGGAGGTTCTTTTCTACAGTGCTGGGAACAAACATGTTTAAAAGCACACTGCTAAAATTAGGTGATATGAAGTCATTTACTGGTTTTATTAAAACGTGTGCACATCAGTGCCATTGATAAGGAAGATTGTAATTTCAAGGTTAGGAGTCTTGGGCTTCCCTGGTGGCACAGTGGTTGAGAGTCCGCCTGCCGATGCAGGGGACGCGGGTTCGTGCCCCGGTCTGGGAAGATCCCACATGCCGCGGAGCGGCTGGGCCCGTGAGCCATGGCCGCTGGGCCTGCGCGTCCGGAGCCTGTGCTCCGCAACGGGAGAGGCCACAGCAGTGAGAGGCCCGCGTACCGCAAAAAAAGAAAAAAAGATTAGGAATCTTCAAAGAGCCATTTAGCTTGAATGGGAAACACGAAACTATTTTAAAATACATCCCTCTAAGGACAACAGTTAGTCTCAGAGAAAAGGAGCTGAAGACATTGAGTAGTCTTCCCACTAGACTTGATAGCAAAGAAGCAGATAAGAAAACATAAAAGATCTCCTATGGATAATTTTTATAAATTTATGTATACAAATGAACAAGTGTATCTTCGTATAACGCATAGATAAAAAACATGTTTGCTGCCAAAGCCACCAATGAGATGCTTCCTGTGTTCTTTGGCCTTCACTTAGCTGTGTGACCAAGGTCCAGAAAATGGTCTGCAAAAATTATTCTGTATATTACCCCAAATCTACTACGTTTAAATGTAACATCAAGTCCGTTGTATGAAGCTGGACTGTAACGTTTATACCAGAATGTATGTCAGTTATATTTTGCAAGCCCTCATAAATATTATATTTATAAATTAATAGCACAAACCCTATGATGTTTCTAGATCTTAAATTAGTAATAATGGGTGCTACATAATTACTTTTTCACTTACCATCCTTAGCTTCCTGGGATCTTTTCCGTTTCTCCCTATGGTCCATTTCACTTTAATGCTGTGCCCACTGGGAGACGCCACCTTCTTTGTGTCTGGTTCTCCTTCCATATGCCTGAAGCTTTTCTGATTCTGTAACTTGGAGCTGCTGATTCCTGCCTCCCGGGTCCTATCATGGCCCCAAAGGCAGAGTCACTTGGATGCTGGAAACAAATATTTAGGGAAAGTTGTGTAACCTACATACTCTGCCCTGTCTCCAGTGTACCCAGGTGATGACCTTGCCTGCCAGCAAAGATTTCATGCTAGTGCATGGTGGCTCCTGGCCGAGCACTTGGGAAGGCTGGTCAGTCCCAACCCTTGGGGCTTGGTGCAGACCCTGAAGTACAGCTCCAAGGATTCACTGTTATTATTATATTTAAAATCCATTTTCTTGGTCATTTCTTTCCTTTTTTTTTTTTTGCGATACGCGGGCCTCTCACTGCTGTGGCCTCTCCCGTTGCGGAGCACAGGCTCCGGACGCGCAGGCTCAGCGGCCACGGCTCACGGGCCCAGCCGCTCCGCGGCACATGGTATCTTTGCGGACCTGGGCACCAACCCGTGTCCCCTGCCTCGGCAGGCGGACTCCCAACCACTGCACCACCAGGGAAGCCCTTCTTGGTCACTTCTAAAGCTGCTCTGCAGAAACCGTTGACCTTGTTTCCCCTCCCTTCCCTCTTTCCAACCCTGGTTTCTCAACCTCTTTTTCTAATTATCCCCAACTAGAGTGATTAGAAATTCCCACCCACTCAATTCAAATTCCCAAGGATGTGAAGGGATAGGACACTGTGCAGGGAACTCGAGGTTGCCATGCACTCGGGACACACCTTCTCACTCATGGTAGCCATGCTCTGATCATCACAGGACCCCAAGTACCTTGTATGTAACAACATATTGTAAGGGAAATTTAAGAAACCCACTTTAAGTACTATTTACAGATTTTACCGATATACTTGCAATCTAGTTTTAAAGTACACAAGGATTTTGTGAATGGTTTTTACAGACACATTATTTATAGGGATCGCATTCTTTCTGCTTTTAGGTGCCATTTACACTGATACCATTTTATTTTATAATAAATTTACATTTCGACTGAATGGAGCCTTACAGTTTAAAATATCTTCATATATTGTCATTTGATCAAATAAATTTCTTACTTGGAATATGTGCATATTTTTAATTTCATGTCTCTTACATGTAGCTGATTTGCCCTAACGCCATGCCCAAAGGTTCAAGAACCTTCAGAGGTTACGTGAATTTCTCTGGTTTAGGTAATCTGAGCAGACCTGCAGAGGGCATGCTCTTCAGTCAGTTCCACTTAGTTTCAAAAGCCTGCCATCTTGCTGCCTTTGGCCGTGAAAAGAAAGGGCCACGAGGCAGTGGGCAGTGTTGCCTGGATGCAGCGATTGAGAAGCCTCCAGAGTTACACTGTGAGGATAGATTTCAACTTTTTAATACACTGTATCTGAACATTCTCTTCTAGTTTTATGAGATTCAACAACACAAGGGGTCACATAGAGGAGCCAGAACCCCTCCCCTGGGTCTATTCTATTCACGGAGAAACCTTCTCTCCTCCCATCACCCGTGCTTGGTGTTGGAAAGGGAACTGGGCAGCCCATCTCTTGGCCCTTGACAGTAGGTCCTTGGCACCTAATAAACTTGCCCTGATCAGCCCCAAGACTAGACCCAACTAGAAGAGGCATCTTACATGACAAGCAAAGTAATTAATTCTTTCTCAATAAGCCATGTCACCAATATGTAAAAAATTTTCTGCTAAGGTGTATGTTTGATGAATAAATATGAATGAACACACTACATCAATATTTCCTTGCTGCAGCAACATGGATGGACATAGAGATTATCATACTAAGTGAAGTCAAGTCAGACAGAGAAGACAAATGTATGATATAACTTATATGTGGAATCTCGAATATGATACAAATGAACTTACAAAACAGAAACAGACTCACAGACAGAAAACAAACTTATGGTTAGCAAAAGGGAAAGGGGACGGGGGAGGGATAAAGTAGGAGTTTGGGATTCGCAGATACACACTACTATATATAAAACAGATGAACAACAAGGTCCTACATTAAAAAAAAAAATTCCTTGCTATCTACTAGGGGCAGACATAACCCGAATGACTGTCAAGCTCTCCCAGCCTCCTTCATTATCCTGTCATGAGAGAATTCACGGCTTCCTGGCATGCAGCGAAGCTTTCTGCTTTTCTGCCCCATTTGCCTGGTCCAGCTGCTCGGTACAGGCAGGACTCCACATTGCGGGACCAGCCCCGGGCCCGCTCCTGGGGACAAAGCCTTGTGGCTGGGGATTTCACCCTCCGACTTCTTGCATGACAAGACCAGCAGAAGCAA